CGGATAGAGACAGGATAGACGAGTCGGCGATTGGAGCCAGCTGGCTGACAGTAGGTTTTACAAGAGACGTGGTCCATGTATCAAAGATATGACCATGAGACTTACTCTGAGGCTTTAGGCTCTAATCAATCCCCCAGGTGTAGAAGATGGATGAATTACGCTTTGAGTAGCACAGATGGGGAGGGGGGAAGGGTCGAGTTAAATACATGTATCAGGGAGATAGCAGACGGATTCTACCGGGCAAGAGGGAAACTCTGATAGGACCCAGGGAAGGACTACGTAACAATATGACAGACTCTGGTCAACATTCCCGGCCCAAGGGTAAAAGGGGTGATAAAGACAGCGTGGAGTGTGAAGGGTTTTTATGAATGCCGCTTGAAGGAGCACACCCTACTACATTAAGAATAAGCACGGAAAAAATTGTGACAGGGAAGGCATGATATGAGGATATGGGAAATGTTAATAGCCCAAGGCAGAAGGGGAGATGCCACAACTGTTTAACACACGTTTGGTCAAAGAATGGGCTTCACTTGTCTCTTTGACAAGTTGTGATATGGTGCTACGAATGGCGAGACTAATTGACGATGCCGGCGAAATTTCTGGGAATGTACCACGTCCACGGTCCTACTCTGGAAATGGTGATGCATACAATGGACTCCGGACTAGATTCGTTCCTCTAAGTCTTCCTAACTATATGATCAAGTTGCGAAAACAAGGATAGACAGCTTCTATACTACGAAAAGAGACTGCGATGGCACAAAAGGCCACACGATCTTGGCCTTCAGACATTCTTATCAATTTTCATCGTGAAATAAACTCTTCAACTTGTTTTATTTATTATCATAATAACTTGTTTTGTCCTAGATCACATAAGATTAATTAAAGATGGAAAGTTAAATTTTACTTTGACAAAATGGATAGGCCTCCTGGTGTCAATAAGTTTTACTTGTCCTTCCGTTCCAAGAGGCGTTTTTCCATGAGGGACTCAACCCCCACCTACAATGCATTATTATATTCAATATGGCCTACTTATTTTGCTGTAGGAAAGCTCAACTTTCAGTCCATTTTTGTCTTGATATTTACTGCTTTTAAAGAGTGTCTTGACGACCTTAATTTTATAAACGTTTAGATAACCCGATTCTTATTAACTTTGAAATTGTCTACAAATGTATCTCACTCTCATTTGTCTTCCAGAGTCTGGTGTTGGTGCCGGGATCGATTCATATTATGAATATCTCTTTAAAGCTTACATGTTGCTCGGCGACCCTGTTTATCTCCATCGTTTCAACACACACTATCGAGCCATCCATCGTTACATCGGCTTCCCTTCTCAAGAGGAGCTGCCTTACCTCTTCCTTGATGTTCATATGCATCGGCCATCGCAACGCGCCAAGCATTTTATGGACGCCTTACTTGCATTCTGGCCAGGCCTTCAGGTTAGTTGTCAGCCTTGCATCAACAAAATTTAATTTGTAATTTAGATTACTTTCTAATTTTTAAATTCTTATCAAAATCTTGGTGGAAGGGAGTTTTGTGGATCTGGGTAGTCTGGTTCTTGTTCTCCTCTGAATGTAGTTTGTTCTTTATGTGACGGACATAATTGAAGAAGCTGTTGGAAGTCTTGGAATGTACTAAGTCCACGATCCAACTCTGGAAATTATCTTGCATACTATGGACTCCGGACAAGGTACGTTCCTCTAGGTCTTCCTGCTAATGTGACCAAGTTGTGAAACCAATGTCAAACAACTTCTATACAACGAAAAAAGACCGCGACCATACAAAAGGCCACACCATCCTGGTCTTCATAGCTTCGATTCTTTTAGTGTGTCCACGATATCATAACGTGAATTGCGGTGACTTTCATTTCGTATGAAAGTGCCGATCTCACTCTAAGACGACTGCTGATTCTCGTATTACAACCGTTTGTCTTATACACTATGTTTAGAAGGACGTACTTTAAATATATATACTCATAACAAGCAAATTTTTAATTATATAAATGGAAATAGAAAGGTCTTGCTAATTTTCTTATTCTCGAGTGCGTCTGTGTATGTGTTTTAACGTCTATACGCAAAACTGACCATATGCCATTAATTATATAAAAGACTAGCGTCAACCTTGGGTCATCATGGCTTAATGTCTCAAGGAAAAAGCCATAACAGAGATAGCGTTAGTTACTTTGGTTGAATTGATAAAATGTAAGCCTGTACGCATAAAAGTCATGTTACGAAACCACCAGTTTGATGATTTAATAAAAGGAATGGCTGTAATTGCTTAGTCTCGCACGTCTGCTTCGTTGATGAGCTTGAAATGCCTGTTGAATGGGTGTGAACTTGGTTAGAACAACCATTCAGCTGACAAATTGAGTGGCCTTCTTTTGGGCGGCGGCTCAAAACCCTCTCTTTTGTATGGTCGCAGTCTCCTTTCGATTTATAGAAGTGGGTTGACCTCATTGTCACAACTTGGTCTTGTTGTAAGAGAGACTTAGTAGAACGCACCTAGTCCGATCTCATTTGCTATAGTAGTTGTGATGATTCCCAGCATCAGAAAGTGGACTTGTTACTTTCGCCGGCATCATAGTTGACATCATCAGTGAGTTTTGCCCTTCTACACACCAAGCTACGAACTCGTCAAAGAGACAAGTGAAGTCAATCCCTCGACAAACGTTCTGCCGAAAAAGGTTACACTATCACTCCTCTTTCTCTCCTGGCCTATCTATTTATTCTTTACCCTCTTATCCCACTGCTGCCCTATCACAACTTTAGACAGGTTTATATTTCAATCGTCAAAATGTGTGCCCTTTTGTGGCAAAATCGAGTGTGGCCTCATCACACTTGCTATTTACCCCGACCCCTGTCTTTCGATAGGCTGATCCGACTCCGGCCTCTAATCCGGATCCCCTCATTGTCTCGTAGATCCGTTCCTTATCTTTCTAATTGACCGATTTCACTCAGTTCCAGTCCGTGTGTGCATTTCACTCCAGGCGCTATTTCTTAAGGCCCTGGAGGCACGTACATTGACACTTAACTGAGCAGATTGCCCAAGCTCTGATTTCCATGCTTGCAGATATCAGTTCTTCCATACAATGGTCCCCTCCTTGATAAAACCTGTAATATCTAAGCAAACTTTGGACGCTTATCTCTGGTCGCTTGCGACATCTCAAGTGAATTTCTAGTACATTTTGGCCATAACGCCAAATTTCCGTGACGGTTTGCATATCCGTCTGCCCAGTTCCCTGACTGCCAGGCCCCCAAATTTGTACTGGTTATTCGAAATCGGCATCACTCTCTGAAAATGTCTTTGCTTTTTTGCCGAAAATCCCTGCCCTCACTTTCTTCATCTCAATCCCTTTTCCTCTGGTTAGCGGTAGATCCTTGATCCAGGCGTCTCCTTTTTGCTGGTTTTGCTCTATTCTTGTTTTCCCTGAGTTTGCTAAGGCAGTAGGCAAAGTTATCGCTAACTCTATCCTCCAATCTTCTGTTCATTACATTTTTCTCTCCAAGGATGTCAGTGGCCTCCCTAATATTTCGCTTCATTGTGTTGTCACCGTATTAGGCTCTTCTTTATGTTGCCTTCCATTTGATCTCATGTCTAGTCTGTGCGATGTATTCCGCTAGTTCTGATCTTTCGGTATCCATTTTTCTGATATTCCTCGATT